ACAACCAAGTATTTCACTATGACAAACGACGCTGCAATGTTAAAGAACGATGGTTCTTAAGATGCTCAAGAGTCTTATACTCTCTTACTCATGTGGAATGATTACAATCTTGTAGTGTTACTACTTCACCATTCCAGAACGGCCAAATTAGTGATGACTTGAGTTTGTCGTATCTTATGTTATGGAACCTAAACCATCCCTGTCGTCCGGCGAGCTTATTGTCTGACAAAAAACCTCGACCACATTCTCCTGCCATCAAACTTTGCACCATCCACGTATTTTGTGCATTAGCTGATTCAAGTGGAGAGTTGGTGAACTACCGGCACACATCACTTGACAGCATCGGCAAAAATGTATTAAACAGTTAAATAAAACTGCATTATGTGAACCTTTTATCCCAGGAAACAGTACAGGGTATTTATCAATTTTTTACCATGAAAAATAATAAATTCCGGATACATACCATGTGAAACAACAGAGACATGAGCTCATAATTAAATGCCACAAAAAACTATGACCTAAACAGTATGCTTATAAATGGCCGAAACTACGTCGAATTTGCGATCGGGTGACTTATTGTGAATTGATTAATTGGGAATGACGGCAGTTTGATACTTAGCATGGTTAGGATGTTTATTTGATCATTTTGAATCACGAAAGATTATGATTCAAAAATGTACACGGCAGTGCAAATAACATCCGAGGCCAAACATTGAGCCTGCCGGAATAGTCACACTTCATGTGCATCGCAGGGCCAATTAAAAACTGTGCTGTACTCATTTTCCAATTTTTCTGCCCCCCCCTCCGCTGTAGTTTGGGACGCCGGAGTGACATCATTTATTCTTTTCATTTTCAGTATGAGGAATGTTCTCGATTGTAATCTTGCATATATATATATATATATATCAGGGAGGCAGCATGCTCTCCGAACACTGCTTGTTTTAAGACAACCAATCAGAACGCGGATCGGCGATCTCAGGTGATTAGTCGTAACCACCAACCAATCAAGATGGTTGACAACGATCTAGTTAACCGATCATTGGATATCTATTCATTCTGCCTTGTGAGCGGTGCAACGTTGGATGACAGCAATCGTGGGAACAGCTTAGATTTGCCAAATGCTTGCTCTAGCAAACCAACATGTTTGACAGCTGCGAATGACGTCTTGGAGCAGATAATAGAACGGTGACATTTATATCCTTCTTTAAGTCATACGCGATTTGTTCATAACCCTGAAAGTGCAGAAACCGATTTTTTTGACGTAAGCGTACGGCAGTACTCTACAATGACTTGGATTCAATGTAATTTTAAATCGACCAACACCAAGTGAATTTGGAGGT